CACACTAAGTGGTATCCCTCTGGGGGCTCGGAAGGCATTGACATCCTGCCCTTGTCCAGAGCTGCAGCAAGCTGCTTCCCCCAAATTTCCCCAGACCCAAACATCACCAACAAACTGACATGTCAGATTTTGTGAATGCTGTGGTGGGGTGTTAGAAAGCCTTACAGCAGAAGAGATAGAGGCACACGTTACCTGGGGCAGGCAGAGTCTTTGCACATTCCTCACCCCCAGTGTGGCTGCTCACACATGGTCTTATGTGAGCATAGGACAAGATCCAGTGAACAACACTGTGTTCCCTTGTAGCCCCATTTAAGGGACCTCAGTACAATGTAGCATCCAAGCTCCTTGTTATTGGCCAGAGGGGTCCCCGTCGGCGGGCCACGTGCAGCATTCCATCAGCCATGATCCTTGGTCCTCTGCCCTCTTGGGCACTGTTCTTGCTCTTGTAAGGAGACCTGATCCAGAATCCTAGGGCTCATTAATTGGGTGCTGTATGTAAATGCTTGTTGAATGGAACTTTCTAGGTCTCTGATAACCACGCCTAGAGAGGATATCTCAGGGGGTCCGTCGGGGTAGCATAATAACTAGCTCCCTTTTCTAAGAGCGCAGCTAAAATTTCTTCCTTGCTACGGATCCATTTGTTGTAGGGTGGGGACAGTAAGATAATGGTAGAGCAAGGGAAACTGCTCTTGTAAATTGCATTCTTTTTCATCTCTCCATAGGCCACATGCTCTGGAATGAGCACTAGATTTGGAGTCAAGAGGCCTGGATTTGAATCCTGTCTCTGCCACCTTGACTCCCTGTGTGATGCTGGGCAAATCACTTTTCTGCACCTCAGTTTCTGTATCTGGAAAATAAGGGGGGAGAGGGATGGGATAGCTTTCCAGGGTCCTTATTAACTCTAAATGTGGGATCCTGGGACATAAGCACTGCCCCAGTACAATAAATAGGGTGTCCTAGTTCTAGTTGTATGCCGACGTCCAGGACGCTCCATTAGGATCACCAGAGAAAACAGTGACTCCTTTAAGGCATTCTCAGCACTCGACCCATGATTAATAACAGTCCTGGAGTGAGCGTTTCTGTGCTCAAAGCAGGCTATGGTGCAGAGGCCACGGCCTCACATCTCACCTTTGGGTCTCCTACGAGCAGGCCGGATGCCTGAGCTAAGTAGAGCAGAGTGATCCCCATCTCTTTCCTTGCCGGGGCTGAGCGTTCATATCAGGCCAATCATCTGCAGTTCTAGCCAGGTGCTGATGGCCCCTGAGGGAGGAGCAGATGTGGCAGGCGCTGGAGCTCTTTGCTGAGTCAAAACCTTCCTGGGCCAAATCTTCCCCTTTCCCCTCACAGGCTCAAGCCCTTTAGCCCACATTCCCTTTGGTATGAGCTATTAGCAGGCTCACTGGGGGTTTTTCCATCTTTGCCAGTGCTGATTACACATTAGGCACTTACTGTTTGCTGAATGGAGTCTGCTTAGGGGGTATGTGAGAATTCGGCTTAATTTTTCCAGTTCATACCTACCCTATCTGAGCCCTTGTCACTGAAAAACAGGATCTTTTCCGGGCTCAGCAGTCCTGAGGAGTACAATAGGTTGGAAAAGTATCAGTACTGAGAACAGAAAGTGGATTTCTGGGTAGGGCCATCTGATCCGGGGGCGTAGAGGAGGGGAGAGTAGAGACCCCATTTAATGGAAGTGTTTTCTTCTACATCCTTGTACCTCCAGCTTCCTAGAATTATTTCTTAAGTGGCCACGAAAGGAAAATGCCAGGCAGTGGTATGAGTATTTAATGTTTACTATTGCTGACATTTCTAAAACATTGTCCTGCTCATCTGGCATTGAATTAGGGAAGAGGGCAGGTCTGGGATCCTTCAGTGTTCCTGGATTCCCCATCACTGAGCTTGTCAGCACGCAGGAGCAGTCCAGACGGCATTTGGGTGTGCTTCATGACATTTCTGGGCTTCATTTGTACAAAATTCCTGAACATGGTCACACTGCTGGGTGGGGAACCCAAGGAAGATGTGGATTTGAGTCAGGGTGGCCCTTGGGTTAGGGTGAAGCTAGGAAGGGGTGCGTGGCTCCCTGGAGAAATGGAATAAACATTTAGTGAGCGCCTGCTATGTGCCAGGTACTGTGCAGAGTGCTTCACAAATAGGTCATTTGATCTGTATAACAACCCTGCAAGGTAGGGGCTGTCATCCCCCTTTCACAGTTGAGGAAACTGAGGTCGAGTGACTTGGCCAGAGTCACACAATAAATGTCTGAAGCTGGATTTGAACTCAGGTCTTCCTGACTCCAGGTCCAGCTCTGTTATCCACTATACTACCTAGCTTCTCTGGGGGGGAAGGGGAGAGAGAACTGTCTGTGAGCACATTAGTGAATCATCTGAAGAGAAAGGCTCACTCTGGCTTTGACATTTGCTTCTAAATCCAGGAGAGTGAAGGAGTTAAGGGGTGTGTGTGTGTGTGTGTGGTGTGTGTGTGTGTGTGTGTGTGTGTGTGTGTGTGTGTGTGTGTGTGTGTGTGTGTGTGTGTGTGTGTGTGTGTGTGTGTGTGTGTGAGCTCCAGGTTAATTCCATGTGCATTAAGAGCCTTGGAAACACTCGAGTCAGCTGTGAAGGAGGCTAAGCCCAGAAGCTTCTCTGAATATTGACTTAATGTGCACACTGGGCCGGTACCAATAAACTTGTTTCAGGTTAAGTCTGAAGGCACGGTGGGGCAGGAGGCCATGAGGTGACTGTCCAGCAGCAGCCGTAGCTGCCCACAGAGTCAGCCAGGCATCTCATTTGCAGTGGAGCATGGGGAGAACAGGGGGAAGAGGGACCCAGTGACTTTTTCCATCCTCAGAACATGAGTACCTGCACCGTTTCGAAGGTCGTGCCTTGTCAAGGCCTGCTTCTCACTGACAGGGAGGGGACAGTGTGATGTAAAGAGGACCACGGACCTGCCCTTCAGTTCCTGTTATCAATTCCTGACAGCCCAGCTTGGGCCTGACTGCTTCCAGGATCTTCGGAAACAGCCTGGCGTTGGATGGAATGAGCTGGTTTTTCGCGTTTTGGGATGGTCCCTCTGAATTTCCCTTTCTACCAATAGTTGTTTGAAAGTAAGTGGCCAAGTTTGCATGGCCTTGATCCCACAACGTCTGTCAATCCCCATGGAAATAAACTCTTACACCTGTACTGTTTCTTTAGTTTTTCCTTTAGCATAAAAGGTTTCTCAAGCCTTGCATTCATCATACTATCACCATGTGGATAGAGTGCTGAACTTAGAGTCAAGAAGAACTGAGTTCTAATCCTACCTCAGGTGAGGTGAGGTCACAGCCTCTGTGGGCCTCAGCTGTACAATGAGGGGTTGGTCTTGATGGCTGATGAGATAATATGATTCAGGGAGCAGAGGTGTGGCCAGGGCTGGACTTCCACCAGGAGCCTTCTGCCCCACTGCCTCTTTTTCAGGACTGGAAGGGACCTTTACATGAGGCCCAGAAGATTAGACTTATCCAATGGGACAGCTAATCAGTGGTAGACCAAGGATTAATCCTTGGATCAATTGATAGGCATTCCTCTAACAACATTGCCTTCAGTGTTTGTTAAGCACCTAATATGTGTCAAGGCCACAGTGAGGAAAGCCAGGATGAGGACTAGCATACAGGTCTCCCGAGTCCTAGGCCCATGACGTGCTCATACCACAGTATCTCCATTCTATCCCTACTGCCTCCTATACTACCCCTAGAAAGCCCAGCTTGGTTGAGTTGTCATCCAATCGCCCAATCATCCCGAGGTGTGGGGGCCATGCCGGCAGATCTGAGGTCTTGTCTTAGCCATCCACCTGTGTTCAAGAGCCTGTCCTTACCCAAGCTCCAGAGCACTCCTCGGGGCTGGCCCAGCTAGAGGAGGAGTGAGCCCATTCAGTTCTTGCTTTGTCTTGGAGGCTAAGGTTGAGTGTAGAGTAGTCCTGGAACCACCGAGAAGGGGAGGGTACAGGCCTGTCCCCAGCCAGAAGAGAAGTCCAACCGGCCAGCTAAGGTCACCCCAGGCTCCTCACCCTGCTAAGCAGCTGTGTCTAATACTACACTATCCCCTGCCTACTAATCCTCTCTCTGGGGGAAGGTGGGAAAGGAACAGTCCTTATCCTTTCCTCCCCTCTCCCCGCAAAAAACAAATTTAGTGACGCTGTACCTCATCCCTCGATAATGAGTTCGGCTTGTTATTAGCTAAATGGATAGACTGATCTGTGGCCTCCCCACCCCCTTCCAGGTAGCACAAATTTTAACACAAAAGGATGGCTAGTGACAGGCATCCAGGGCACCAGGACATGATGATGGACATGATGTTTGGGGTCACTTGGGCTTTTTGGTGCCACCCCCTCCACACACCACTGTGGGGCCAACCCTGGCTTTGGGGAGGTGTCTGGGGGAGAACGGGGATCAGGAAGGAGCAAGGCGGGGTTAGAGAAAGGAGCAAGCATTTATTAGGTGCCTGCTGTGTCAGGCACTGTGCAAATATATCATTTGATGCTCACAACAACATTGGGAGGCAGTTGAAACGGGCAAACAGGTTGAGTGACTTGCCCAGGGTCACACACCTAGTAAGTGTCTAAGGTCAGGTTTGAGCACACGTCTTCCTGCCTCCAGGCCCAGAGTTCTATCTCCTGTGCCACCTAGCCACAGAGGGGAATTTGCAAAGAGGCTCTGAGGGGAATAAAGTTTGATAGGAAGAAAATAAAGCGGAATCTCTGAAGAAAGGGAAGTGTTTAGTGGAGAGCATGAGGGTTTGTAGAGTGGTGATGGGTTCAAGTGGGGAGCACAGTCTGAGGGGAGTACAGGGAAGGGAAGGGCAGGGCTACTTTTTAATTTTAATTTTAAAAATTGAGTTTGTTTGATTTTGCTCGGGACTAGACAAATGGAAGCACTGTGGCTTTTGTATGCCTGAATCCTCTGCCTCTGGCCCAAGGCTTGGCCCCACTACCCATACTTCCCCTTTCAATCCCTACCACTCATTCAAGGAAAGTGATTTCAGACCAGACTTTATTCAGGACTTTGAGGTTGCTTCCTCCTGAGGCCCTGCCACTTCTGTGGCTCAGGGAGAAGCTTGTCCTTCATCAGTGTAATCCTCACCCCAAAAGGTGAGTGAGAGATCTCAGCACCACCACACACCAGGTATAGGTCTGGGCAGAATCAGGCCTGGGGGCTGTCGCCAGGATAGGGACTTTCATATGTAGCCCTGCCCCCACCCCCTGGCTCTCTGCCCTGCGGCTCTCCATTCCTCTTGGGTTTGGAACAGACATGGATGCCTTGCCCCTGTGGGTATGAGGGGGGACATCCGCCAGATGGATGCTGTCTCTGCTAGAGAAGCAAAAGTTACCTCTCTGAGCATCCCCTGGAGGAGGGTGAAAAGGGGACAGAGGGAAGAGGGCAGACCTCACTAGGGGGCCTGGAAGGGCAGGGAGAGCTGTAGACATGTCAGCCACGGCAGAACTCTTTGTGACATGGCCCTTCTCTTGGACCTGCACTGAGGCTTAGGTGTGTCCAAGGGTGAAGGAGATGACATCTGGAGGTCGCTTCCTTTTAGAGGATTCAGTGGTTCTTGGAGCTCTACGTGTTTCATGGCCCACGTACTCTGGTTTCGGGGTTTTGCAGAAACCTCCTTGGAGAGCCTCTGAAGGGGCGTGTGTGCAAGGAAGGGGCACAGCTGAGAGAGGGGCAGTGTGAGCATGTCAGTGGGCCTCTTGGACTGAAACTCTAATTCTTTGGGTGTAGATCCAGGGTGTGTCCAAGCTCACATCTGGGCATCTGTTCTGCCATCCATCCATCCACCCATCCATCTGCTCTACTGCCAGGGGAAGATAAGGCCTTTTGGCTGCGTGGTATACACTAGAGTGTGGGCATGGGGTTGTGCGAAGAATGGCGCCTTCAGAAGAAGTATCTCAGGATTAGGCAACTGAGTAGCCCAAAGAGAGAAAACTCAAAACGACTGGAAGCACCCAGCACAATTTTCCCAGCGGGATCTGTATCCGGAGAAGAGAGAGAGAAGGTTCAGCCCCAGCAGATTTCCTGGGGTGCCCCCATCCCCACCCCATCCATCTTCCACCAAACATACTTTCAACCCGAGGAAGTGTACAAGAGAGGCCCCTGCGAGCCAACAAAGGGAACAGGATGCTGTGAGTACCGACGTGGCATGCTGACTACATGCTCCATGCGGTTACACATGCTGGGATATCGGAGGTCAGGAATGTCCCACCACCATTCCTTGGCATCAGGCCTAGGGGTGCAGGACTACAAGAAAGAAGAGGACAGCTGTGCAGCCTGGAGACCTGATCAGGCAGGGCAGAAGCAGTGGGCCTTACCTTCTAAAGTGGAGTGCAGGGCCAGGGTGCGCCCACCTATGGCATTGGCCCCACCGGTTTGGGGGAGGTCAGAGGGGGCACTGTTGGAGGTGTGCCCTATTGGCCACAGGGTGCCTGGGACCTCTTCCAGCTCATCATTAGCCAGGGAAGTGGTAGCCAGAGTCTCAGAGGAGGAGGAGGAGGAGGAGGGAGGAAGCAACTCTTGAAGTTCATCCTGGGTGGGCTCACCTCTGTCTGGCTCTGGCTTGCTGGCCTCTGTCTCTAATGATTTCAGGGTGGTTTCAATACTTAGCCTAGGGGAGAGGGAGGTCCCCTCACTCAGGGAGGTCGAGGTTTTGGTAGCCAAAGAGGGAGGGGTTTCAGTCGCCAAGTTGGGTGAGGTCTCAGTTGCCATAGAGGTCGGGGCTGCGGTTGGTAAAGAGTGTGAGACCCCAGCCTCTTCTGGGCCTATGATTGGTTCTGACAAGAAATAGACAGGGCTGGGCATTAGTGCCGGTCTACAGGGTCTTCAATCCTTTATCTGCTCCAGCTAAGATGTAATGCATCATGTATTAAAAGGATGTGCATGTGAGGACTAATTGAATGAACTGAGCATGTTTGCAAGATGGATGTCTCCCAAGTATTTATGAGGAAAAGGGATTAGAAACCATGTTCTGTTTGAGAACCAGGGATAGTGGGCAGAAGTGGCAAAGAGGACAATTAGGGCTTGATGTCAGGAACGAATTCTGTTAGATCTCTCCAGAAGTGGAATGGGCGGCCTGGAGAGGCCGAGGGATGGACCCCTCAGCTTAGAGGTCTTCAGAAGGAGGCTAGTGGGCACTCTTTCTGTGTATGGGCTGATCTGCTTGCCACAAAGCTTCCTTCCAACTGCGGTTCTGTGATTCTCTGACAGTTCTGGATGTCGACCTCGCTGCACCCCCTAACCGTTGTGCATCAACAACTCCCCCGTTCTCCACGACACACCACCACCACCTTTCTTCTCCCCTCTCCACCCATATTTCCACCTTTCCGCCTTCCCCTCTCTAACCATACCCAGAGCCTCTTCATCCCCAGCCACACTCTCTCAGGCTTCATCTCCCCTCTATGGCCTTCCTTATCACCTCTACCTTTCACCCCATTGTGAGTTCCCAGACCACACACACAGGATCCATCAAGTTTTCATTTTTATCTGAGGTGTCTCCTTGGGGTGAAGTGGGAGGGAACTCCTCTTTGTTAGACTACAGAGTCCCCAACTAGGACCAAGCCTACCGGGCAGGACCCAGAGGTACTCTCTAAATGCTCCACGACTGACTGACAAAAGACATCTCCACCCCAGGCCCTCCCTGTCCCCACCAGCCCCACCACTACTTACGACAAAGTTGGTTCTTACACTCGTAGCCCTCCTGGCATTGGGAACAGTGCGGCCCCTCCACGTAGGGTTTCTGGCCCTTCACGTTTCCTCTGGGAGAAGATAAGGAGGAGGAAGAGATGGAAAAGGGAAGCCTAATTCATTCTCTCTTCCCTTCTTCCCACCCCTACCTCCCAAACGTTCCAGGAGGCAGCCTGGGAAAGTGGGAAAAACTCCAGGGTCTTAGTCTTGGCTCTGGCAGCCACTAAGCCACATGACCTTGGGCGAGTTCACTTTCCCCTCCCACCTCCCTCATGTTGGACTGCTGCCCTTGCCCTCTCCTCCGTCCTTCCCCAGGCTCTGATGGGCACTCACGGGGGTTCATAGTTGCAGACCAGCACGTGAATATTAGTCTCCATCACTCCTTCCAGCTTCTCACAGAACTGAGAGCCGCAGCCAATCCTCTCTGTCTTTGCCCAGACCACCTGAAAGAAGCCAGAACAAAAGGCCTTTCTTTCTGGTGAGAGCAGGCAAAAGCCCTCGAAGCCTGAAAACCCAAGGAATCCAGCCTAGCGATCAATCTAGAGACAAGGCCAATTGCCTCAAGACCACCCACCTTACAACCTGGAAATATGTGCACGGTCCCTGTGGGAGGCCAAGGTAGCTGTTCAGTGGTTCAGTCACGTCCGACTCTTTGTGACCCCGTGGACCATACTGACCTTGGGGTTTTCTTGGCAAAGATACTGGAATGGTTGGCCATTTCTTTCTCCAGTGGATTAAGGCAAACAGGTTAAGTGACTTGCCCAGGGGTCACACAGCTAGTGTCTGAGGCTGGATTTGAACTCAGGTCTTTCTGACTCCAGGCCCAGGGCTCTGTCCACTGAGCCATCTGGCTCAGTGACTTTTGTCTATAACACTTTCTCCTTCCCTCCCCTTATCAAAGCTAGATCTCTCCTCTCCCAAGTTCAAAGCTAAGTCCTGGCTGATGGCAATGATTCACTCCAGTGTTCATGCCACTTTAGCATCTGTGATGTGGGGAAGCAGAGGGTAGGGTAGGGGAAGATTTTCATCTTAAGGGAAAAAAGACTCTAATAAGGCAAAGGGCTGAATTTGTAACTCTGGAATTTTAGGCTCAGTGATAGAGGTTTGGGGGACTGAAAGGCAGGAGAAGGAGGTGTCAATACCCTAACCCAAAACCATTCTTTTTTTTTCTTTCTGCTATGAAGTTTCCAGTGTCAGATTGGATACCATTTGAAATTATTTACATCATTAATTCTAAGATGTTAAGAGAAGATAGCTTAACAATGCTTTCTCAGGGGTATTTGCATTTTAACAGCCTTCAATGAAAAGGACAGATCTCTAAAGTTAGACTCTTAGGCCAGGAGGTTGGGAGGGAAAATATTTCTGGGGCTGGTGGCCTTCCTGGTGTCCTGGAGCCCGACCCAGACTAAGGCATCCCCTAGAGGTGGTGAGAATCCGATGCGGAATGGACCTATCGTCTGGAGGTAGAGTCTTAAAACTATTTTTTGAGGGTTCACTTGACCTGGCAACTACTTCAAACCTCCTTAGGTTTTCCCCAGCTCTCCAGAACATAACTGAGATGCCAGAAAGGGAAAAAAGGGATCTCTGAGTGGCAGAGACAACTATCACAAAGCTCATGTACTCTGTAGGCAGTCTTTCACTCAGTGCCTAAGTACTCTCGCTTTCTAACAAGCTTGGGAGATCTGTTCTTAGTCTGACTGGAGGTTAGATCTTGATAACCCCCCCTCCAAGAAAAACTGGCCTAATACAACTCAGGAGAGGATTCTCCTCCCCACATTTCACCATAGTTCTCTGCTGTCCCTGGAGATGTACTCCTTCCTGACTTTCCTCCCCTGACAAATACCCTTTATTCTTGACCCCAGGAAACATAGAGGAAGAAACAGGAAAGGCTCCCAAGCCCCTGACAAAGCCAGAACACAGCCAGCTGGATCATAGATCTGAACCAGGGCAGTGATGTTCATGTGTTCAGACCCTACTCTATCCAGCACGTTGGTGGGGCCTCATCTGGGACCCCACAGGGAAAGGAAGGGTTTATCAGATCCCCTTAGATTTTCCTGATTATAAGGAATACAGGAACGGGTGACCCGCAATCTTCTATAAAGAGTAAAAACAATAAAGTCATGCCTCACTTAATCAGAGGTCAGATTCCTAGAAGCCTCAACTACAGAGATGGGGGCTGGGGTGTATGGGAAGGCTTCTGAGTGGCATAGATGTCCTGCTCATCCACTTCATTTCTGGCAAGCCTTCATTTACAGCCTATTGACTTTTGCTTTCCATAAAATTCTAACAAGCCTGATGACCTGGTTTATAAGTCCATATCAGATTAGAAAGCTGGAGAATAGCTCCTAGACGCAGGCATTTTGATGGTAGCAAAAAGTAACTGCTGATGTCAGGAAGGCCTCCCTTCAGAACTATAAAAGCAGAACATCCTGTGATAGTGTCAGGTCCTAGGGCCTTCTGCATTGCTACATCATATATAGCCCAACGCTATAAATGATGTTCACAATGACGACCCCGAGTCATTGAGTGTAACTACAATCAGGGAGGTGGGAGTCAGAAGGCAATAGCTGCTTCTCATGGTTTTCACAAGGTCATCAGCCACTCCTCTACTCTGAGGCTTCCTGAAGGCAAAAGATACTAAGGGAAGGCCAAAGCCTCTGGGCTGGTATTCCTAAACAGGCTCTTGTTCTTTGATTAGAGAGTAATTTTCTTGATTGGAGAGAGAGCCGACTGAAGAATTGCGTGAGATTTCATGTGTTACAGAACAATGATCTGGGGAATCCTGGTACGCCCTGAGAACTGGACGAGGCTGTGGGTTACCCGAGTTCTCAGGCACAGAGACCAGCAAAGGGCTGAGCAGAGATGAACCCGTGTCACCGAGTCAGGAACAGCCTTACGCTGGGTCACACTCTCCTCTTTACCTAACTCGTCCGTGTCAGACGCCATGGAACCCCCAACACTGGGAAAGACAAGAGTGGGGCTGTAAACACATGAACATCATCGTCCTGGTTCAGATCTGGGGTCCCTCTCTCTGGGTTCTATTCTCTGCTGAAGAAGCAGGAAAGTGGATGCATTTCTAAAACATTTTAGAAATAATTTACATCCTAAATAATTAAAACAAAAAGAAAATTTAAATATTACTTAAGGGGCAAGTAGGTGGTGCAGTAAATAGAGCCTTGCCTTGGAATCAGGAGGACCTGAGTTCAAATCCGACCTCAGACACTTGATACTTACTAGCTACATGACCTTGGGCAAGTCACTTAACTCTGCCTCACCAAAAAGCAAAAAAAAAAAAAATACTTAAAAGATTAAGCTTCAACCATCCAGAAAGTGTAAAGCTACTTATGGGGCTAATTCAGTGTAACCATAATGATTATAACAATATTACATTATAATAATATATAGTATAACAATATATATTGTTATATAAAATATAACAATAATAAAGAATAAGTGATCCTCTATATGTCTGGGATGGCTTGTTGTTATTCAGCCCTTTTTTAGTCATGTCTGAGTCTTTGTGACCCCATTTGGGGGTTTTCTTAGCAAAGATCCTGGAGTAGTTTGCCGTTCTTTTTCCAGCTCATTTTACAGATGAGGAAACTAAAGCAAACAGGGTTAAGTGACTTGCCCAGGGTCACACAGCTAGGGAGTGTCTGAGGCCAGACTGGAGCTCAGGAATGTGAGTCACTCTATCTACTGCACCACCTAGCGGCCCATGGGATGACTTGAGCCTGGGCAAAGCCTGGAGCCCTGCCTTTTCCTAGAATTCTATGGTCCTAGTCTCTGTTTCATGATCTATGTTTCTTTTAGAGGCAAGGATGGGGGTAACTGTTGAATTGAAAGAGCTCAGGTGTATAGAGCACCGGCCCTGGATTCAGGAGGACCTGAGTACAAATCCAGCCTCAGACACATACAACACTTACTAGCTGTGTGACCCTGGGCAAGTCACTTAACCCATTGCCTAGCCAAAAAAAAGAAAAGCAAGCTCAAGTGGATAGAGCTGGGTAAGGTTGGGGTGGGGGGAGGAAGCGGGTGAGTCCTTGGGCCTGGCCTGCGCTGCTCCCTCACCCAGCCTACCTGGGTGTAGTGCCCGCACATCTGTCCTTCTGCACAGGTGGCATTGCTGAGGTTGTAATGCTCATGCTCGTTGTACCATTGCTCCACGGCCAGCTGCAAGTCCATCTCCCCTTCTGTGATGGCAAAGAGGTTCTCTCCCCGGCGGCCTCGGTCCTTATTGTGGCCCCACACGCACTTGCTGGCATAGGCTTTGGCGAAGGCAGCCAGATCCTCGTCCCATTTCTGGAAAGAAAGGAGAAGCACAAGATCTAGTGTTGGGGGTGAGCTTGGCCTGGGTCACTCAGTCTCTCTGGGTCTTGGTTTTCTCATCTGTAAAATAGGGACAATAATCTCTGCTGGCCTCTTGGGCTGTTGTGAGAATTAAATGAAAGAATCAGAGCACTCTATAAAGGTGTATGGTACGAGGCGGAAGGTGGATATCGCTATGACCAGCACTTCTCTTTAAGTAGGTAGGGATTATTCCACACACCAGCAAATTACGGATACCATGGTCCAGAAGAGATACTATCAGGGCAGCTGGGTGGCGCAGTGGATAGAGCACCGACCCTGGATTCAGGAGGACCTGAGTTCAAATCTGGCCTCAGACACATAACACTTACTAGCTGTGTGATCCTGGGTAAGTCACTTAACCCCATTGCCTAGCCAAACCCCCCCCCAAAAAAAAAAAACAAAACAGAAGAGGTACTATCGTTAGCTGGGTTTGTGTCTTGTCCCCCTACTAGACTATATCTCTCCCAGTGCCTGCCTATCATAGTGCTCTCTCTACACACAGTAGGTGCTTAATAAATGTTGAATTAATTAATGGTTACCAGTTGACTTTGGTTTATATCACTGTATGGGTCTAAACATAAGCCATACTTTGTCCCTCCTCCAAATCTGTCTCATATAAAATCAGTGTGACCCACAAAATGGTAGTCATTTTTATTAGATACCTATCTATTTTTTCTTTCAAAGAGACCTCATTTTAGGAATTCAGTTTATAGTCTAGGGATGGCCTTGTCTAACAAATATATTATATGTCAGCCTTAAGGCTAAAAACAATCTGGAAACAGAGGAGGAATGTATGTTTCAGTAAATTTAGACTTCTCTTGACTTTGTTATAAAATGTCTCTCTAACCCTCAGCTCACGCCCATACCTTAAATTTCCTTCAGTAACAACTAGATGAGTTTCAATAACTAGTTCAAGGGGGTGCGATAATGTGTTATGTGGTACACTTATAATTCAGGACTCTGTGCTATCCAGGTTTACATAATTTAACATAATATCATGAAAAGTACACTAGACTTTTAGCTAGGAAAGAACTAAATATTATCTCATTTTATCTTCCCAACAAACCTGGGATTATCACCATTTTTTGTTGTTATCGTTCAGTTGTTTCAGTCCTGTCTGACTCTTTGTGACCCCATTTGGAGTTTTCTTGGCAAAGATACTGGAGTGGTTTGCCATTCCTTCTCCAGCTCATTTTGCAGATGAGGAAACTGAGGCAAACAGGGTTCAGTGACATGCCCAGGGTCACACAGCTAGGGAGTGTCTGAGGCTGGATTTGAACTCAGATCTTCCTGAATCCAGATCCAACATTTTAACCATTGCATCCCCTATGGTATAACACAGAAGTTCCGTGTGAGTCACACAGCTAGTATTTGTCAGAGGCAGGATACCTTTAGTGTAAAGGAAAGGCTTTGTAAAGCTTTGTTGTTCAGTCATGTCCAGCTGTTCCTGACCCCTCTTTGGGGTTTTCTTGGCAGAGATATGGGAGTGGTTTGCCATTTTCTTCTCCAGTTCATTTTTTTTTTTAGGCAATTGGGGTTAAGTGACTTGCCCAGGGTCACACAGCTAGTAAGTGTCAAGTGTTTGGTCTGAGGCCAGATTCGAACTCAGGTCCTCCTGACTCCAGGGCCGGTGCTCTATCCACTGTGCCACCTAGCTGCCCCATTCCAGTTCATTTTTGCAGATGAGGAAACCAAGGCAAACTGGGTGAAGCGGTTGCTCAGGGTCACACAGCTAAGGAGTGTCTGAGGCTGGTTTTGAATTCATGAAGATGAGCCTTCCTGATTCTAAGCCCAGTACTCTATCCACTGCCCCTCCTAGCGCAAGGCTAGAAAGAGATGGTGGGTCAGTCTGCTGGGTTCTGTGGGAAGGATGGTTTGAGGGCTTGGCTATGGCCCAGGGCAGTCAGTTCAGCTTTCCTTGTTGCCTGAGGCCAGCTTGGCTCCAGGCCTCTTCGAAGCTGTGGGAAAGCTGTTCTTTCCTTTCACAAATAAAGAAATGCAGGCCAAGGTGAGGGAAGCCTCTCCAAGTCTGCTGGCACCTGCCAGCTGAGGCTGTAACAAGAAACACAAGGGTGAAGGTGAACACCCTATGATTACAATAAATCAAGTGCTAAGAAAGACCCAGAATCCACCTTCTTTTTGTTAGAGAACATGCATATTTTGGCATTTAAAGCCCTTCATGGCCAAGTGCTATAGAGTGCAGTACATGGCATAGTAGAAAGGGCCCTGGGGGCAGCTAGGTGGCTCAGTGGTAGAGCACCGGCCTTGAAGTCAGGAGGACCTGAGTTCAAATCCGGCCTCAGACCAAACACTTGACACTTACTAGTTTTGTGACCCTGGCCAAGTCTCTTAACCCCAATTGCCTAAAAATTTTTTAAAAAGACATTCAGAAAAAAGGAAAGGGCCCTGGCTCTACGGGCAAGGGGACACGAATTCAGATCTTCCCTATTGTTTACCACCTATGTGATGTAAAACTTTGTAAATGATAAAGCATGAGTTATTTACTACATCTAGATTTAACCTCCCTGAGAACAGAAATGGTGTCCTATCTAAAACTCTTTGTCTCCTCCAATGCCTAGTGAAGTACCCTGCACATAGCAGGCTTAATAAATGCTTGGTAAACAATTGGATTGGGATCCCACTCCTACCAAGAAGGCCCCCGGGGCTGCTCCAGGCCCTAGTGACCCACCAGTCCTCAGGAGCCAAAGGACTTGTGTAGACTAGGCCTTGGCACATTTGTACTGCCCCATCCTTCACATCCTGTCGCTGTTATTTTCATGGGGAGGAAGGGGTCTTCTCTAGCTCCTTGAGGGCAGACTTTGTATGGTACCCCTCTGCACTCCCTGATGTACCAGGTACATGGGAGATACTTCAACACTAACTGAGGCAGCAGCTCAAGGCTGCAGGGAGCTGTCCAGTTGGAGAAACCTTCACAGAACATTTACTGAACCCTGATCCTTCTCATGAGAAGCCTCCCTGTTGCCTAGACTGTGAGGCTGGAACAGCCTCATCTGTGGCTGCCAGCTGGGGGAGGAGGGTTCATGTGACCAAAGCTGTCTGCCCTCAGAAGGAGCCCAGCTGCAGATTCTCAGAACAGCAGAACTGGAAGCTGCCCTGGAGAACACTAGTGCCCCTCTTGTTACGGGTGAATGAGGCTTAATGGGGCACAGAAAGTGCTCATAGATTTAGAGGGACCCTAGAGGCCAGTGAGTCAAATCCCTCCTCCCAATTTTCAGATGGGGAAACTGAGTAACAGAAAAGTTAAGTGATTTGGCCCACAGCACAAAATTGATAAATGTATGAGGGAGGATTTGAGCCCAGATCTTCCCAACCTTCAGTGCCCTACCTCTTCTACCATATTATTATTAATCGTTTTCAGTCCTGTCCAACTTTTCATGACCCGTTTGGAGTTTTCTCGGCAAAGATACTGGGTGGTTCGCCATTTCCTTCTCTAGCTCATTTTGCAGATGAGGAAACTGAGGCAAACAGGGTTAAGTGACTTGCCCAGGGTCACACAGCTAATAAGTGACTGAGGCTGGATTTGAACTCTTGAAGATGAATCTTCTCAGACTCCAGACCCAGTGCTCTATCCACTGAGACACCTAGCTGCCCCACCTACTCTACCATACTTCTCCTCAAAAAGAAAGTCCGACATTAGCACAGCTGGAACTCAGTCAGCCAGGTTTTTCTCTTGCTTTTTGGTGAGGCAATTGAGGTTAAGTGACTTGCCCAGGGTCACACAGCTAGTAAGTGTCAAGTGTCTGAAGCAGGATTTGAACTCAGGTCCTCCTGACTCCAAGGCCAGAGCTCTATCCACTGTGTCACCTAGTTGCCCCAAGAGTAGCACCTTTCCTACTAAATCATAGATTCCAACCTATGGGCTTTGGACCTTTGGGAGGCTCAGGAATTATCCAAGGGGGTAAGAGAATCCTTATGCAAATCCATAAGTAAACCTTCTGGGGCATCTGTGGGTTAGTAGATGGGGAGTTCTCAGACTCTGGAAGACCTGGGTTCAAGAGCTGCCTCTGACACTTAACCCCTTTGTGACCCCGCAAAAGTCACTAAGATTGTAAATTGCAGAGCGTTCTCCTCCTGTAATGCCCCCGACAGCTCTAAATCTGTGAACCTATTGGTAGAGGGAATTTTCTCACTGAGAGTTCCCTCCACTAATAAAATCTCCAGTGGTGGAGGGGGAAATAGACCTTTTACAGACTGAATAAAGTATATGTCTTACACACGTATGTACTACCATTTTTCAAATGTACTATCATGATTAATAAAATACTAATTCATTTAAGGATTACTGAATTCATAATAGTTTTTGTTGTCTTGTGTTTTCTCAGTCAGCAGATACTAATAATACAACTGCTATTGGTGAAGTTTTGCAATGTTATAAAGGGGTCTTCAAACCCAAAAAGGTGGGAAACCACTGGGCTATGCCATATTTCCTCCCCATAATGGATGTGAACTTGGGTCAGTCCTTGGGTAATGGAGGTCTGCACCTGGACCCAAACGCAATTGTCATGTGTAGACAGATCACCAGTAGTTCTCATAGGCTCTCATTAGTGGGTTCATATGGTCTAGGCTTGCCAGGACCCCCACGAATCATCCAGAATCTCTAAAAGAAATCCAGGCTCTTGGGAACATCATTTTTTTTTCTCTTAGGTAGTAAGCTATGTGCAGTTACTGCACCATCTTGTGGACATACATGGTAAGTAATCACACATCCCTCAGCATCCTTCTTCCCTGGAAGTAACCATGGTACCTCTCTCCACCTCTCCCAACTTTCCCCACCCCACTCCCCCTTTTCAGGGCAAAAAGCAAACCTAATCATGCGTCTACTTTCCCACCTTCCATCAGTTTCTTCTCCCAAGCTTCACATTCATTCCTGCAAGGATTCATCTTGTGTTACTCCAGCAAAAGTCTTTCCCAGTTCATGTCAGCTAATCCCT